GGGAGAAAAGAATCACATATATTTTTTTCTTGCAACTTACATGATTTCTTGGTTTGGACAACCGTTCCCAGGGGCTGTGATTTCAATTCGTACAATGCGTCTGTACGCATTGGGCAAGGTTGACAACGTTCGGGAGCATCTGCACTTTAAGCTTGTGTTAAAAGCCTCTAGAATACCTGTAAATACAGAATCAGTTATTTGAATTCCTTTGGCATATAATTCGTAATTAGATCTTAACTACTAATCTTGCATACAGTGCATTTGAAGATTTTTAAATTTCAAGTTGTTTTTCCACCCATATGCCTTCAGTATGTGTATTTCTGCTTGTCTTGGCTTATTTTCAAATATTTTCTACCAAAACCTTAAAAATAAAATTAGCTTTTTAAAAACGCCTACTGAAATTTGTGATAGAATTATATTGGCACTCAGGTAATTGTCCATATAATAAAATTTGAGAATCATCACTATGGGGACTTACAACTCACTTATAGTTAATGCAATATAAAATCAACTGATCTTCACTCCCAACACATAAAAACCAAGGACAAGAACTCATTGCAGAGTCCCTGGAGGAATAACAAGCTGTAACAGTTCTCTCTTTTATCACACTCGCCACCCCACCTCCCTGTCAATCTCTGAGGAATTACCTTAGAAGATATGTTTTGTTCTTGTTTAATACATTAGTCATCCAACTTGGCTACAAATCATTACCAAACAAAGGCCAATAATAAAAACTCAAGACAATTTTTATCCAACAACAAAAGTTATTGTACTAACCAAGTCCTATACGTAACCCATCTGGTGCATTTAAATGAATTCTTCCCACTTTAATCCCAGTTCCTTCCACCGTGCTTGACATGTACTTGCAAATATAAGGGACCCAGCTCTCAAGGTGTGTACAGTTTAGTAGAGGAAGCAAATGAGCAAAAGCTAAAATACCACAGAAAGTTGTAGTTTACCCAAGGCCCAAACTGCATGATAGGACAGAGGGCTTTGCCAGGAGCAATGGGAAAGCTTCATGCAGGAGGTGAGAGATGAGAGTCTTGAAGAATGAAAAAAACATGTGAAGCAAAATAACAATTGAAAAAAAATACTCCCTGTGTTTTAAGAACAAAAATTTGTCCTCTAAACCTGAGCCAAGTATATCATGCTGCACATGCATCTGATTCCTGTAACTACATAATAACTTACCACTTCAACTAGATATTTATCTAGTTACCCAAGGATAGTCTTCCCATTTAGACTTGTAAGTCTGCTTCTTTGCAGAAAGCGTGTACTTAAATACCCCTGTAGTACTTATAATGGCTCATGTCAGAGCTAACCATACAGAGCTGCACCAGATGTTCCCTGCCGGAGAACAGCCCATTGAAGTCAATAATCTTTAAACCCTATAAAGGATTTGGTCAGACGGAGTAGCACAGACAGGCAGAACATAGAAGAGATGCATGGAAAGAACTAGATATAGCAGAGCTGAACCTGGAAAGGACCAGGAATAGACACACCAAGTATAAGTCACATGGATGCTGGGCTTCCAGTATCTCTTCCTCTATGGCTAACAATCAAAACAAGATAAATGCTTTCAGTCTCAAGAGTTAAATCCTGAAGCACCTTACTGCTAGAAATCTGGGAGCACTGAGCACATTTTTCCTCCTTAAGTCATATTTCCTCCCATTTTCTAATTGAAAGAAAAAAATGGAAATGTCTGAAGACCATGTCTGTTCAAAGGACAATGACAACGTAAGTGAAAGTTCTCACCATGGACTGGAGAG